TAAAGGGTTTGCTCCGCTACCTGCTTAGGAACATGGGGCGGGGGGAGCGAGACAAGACATAGGCAGCTTGCCTACAGTCAGCAGAAGGAAGCAAACTGCAGAACTGAAACCATGAAGCCCCGAAGTCCCATTTTGCAGACTGCTTTCAGACTATGCCCATAGGACAGAACCGAAAAGTGAAGCTGATAGACTTTTTATGGAAAGAGGTGGAAGCAGCAGCACCCAGAAGACAGAGTTCTCTCCATAAGGAGGCTTCTTTTGCATGCCTCTCTCAAAGCTCAGAGCACATAGTGGTCACAGGAGCTTCCTCCACCAAAAATAAGTGTCTCTGTGCTCTCCATTATGAGCACATTTCCTACAAAACAAAAGCTGTGTTCTAGTTACGAGAGGGAAGTGTTCATGACTGATGCTTAATTTAAACAAGCACCTGATGGCAAAGCCACACATGAACAAAACCACAAATTCTTTCTGCAGTTTTTCCAGGGGTCTATGTTATCTGAACAGCAATCCCAGTGGAATTATTATTATTCATCAAGACATCTTGTCCTCTACCAAGGTGAGTGCTCAAAGCAAGAGTAAAATTCCCCAAAGACGAACTACTTGCCATATATCTAGTACCTGACTGCATTAGAAAGAAAACAAAATTTCTGTTTGCACATTTTACCTTTTTTTTTTTTTCAAATAAAGTTTATATATCTTTGGTTTACATTTCTACATTTGATGCACATCTGCTGATAGTTGGAAGCATTTGCCACACAGTTCCTCTATGCATCAAAAGCCGAAATACAGAATTCAATTTACAGTTCTGATCTTTAGCCCTCGTGGGCTTCTGAACTACTACACTAAACTTGTCAGAACAAAGATTTTATGTAACTTTCTATTTCTAGCTTTTCCTGACAGCCCAAGACAAGAAATCTGGCAGAAGGGCAAGAATAACATCTAAAAGCACATGGTGTTAACAGATTTCTAGTGCTCTATATGGCTAAATGTAGCATAAACTACAATTGTAGCAGGACGTTGTTTAAACAGCTCCAGTATTAGCTAAAAACTAATCTCAAGCGTAAGTAGATGTAGGTTTTTACATGAACAGTGACATTAGTCAGAGAAATACTATCAAGAGTGTTAAAGGACTACTCAGAATGTAAACAATGAGATTACCTTAAATTGCTCAACTTTTTCAAGTTTTTCCAGGTCTGGAACCAGCCTTACTCCATCTTCGAGAGTTTTCAGGAACTCTACCTGGAATGCTACCATTTCAGTCAGATTCCCAAAGAGAACATCCAGCTAATAAGAGGGGGGGGGGAAAAAAAGGCAAGATGCTGAAAATACCGCTTTGCAGCTAAATCACATTTTCTAGAACTTCAGTAATCCTCAGTCCCATTGTATAATCAGTGTGATGTCAGGAAAAAAACCCTACAGACATTATTGAGCAGTACCATTATATTCTACTCAATCCATTATTTTAAAAGAAATGGAATTAAAATTTCTCCATAGCCCTTGCTCAGAGAAGCAAGTCAAGCTGGGGGGTGGGCAGAGCAGAGGGGTATGCATAAGCTATCTAGCAAAAAGATAAGCAGCAGCTTACATACCTCATCTGGTGTGAGGAATGTTTCTTTTTGTAGAGGCTTCAGGTATCTCTCCATTAGACAATTTAAGTCCTAAAAATTGAGAAAAAGATTCCCATGTTGGTTCCTCAAACTACCTCTGAATATTTATTGAAGTGGCAAAGATCACCATTTACCTAGTTTATGAATTTTTCCCTTTCACACATAAGACAAAATAGTTGGATTTCACAGAATTTAAGATAGTAAAAGGAAACATTTACACAGTTTTACTTACAAAATCAATACCAGATTTGACTGAGCAGTGTTCTTTTGCACACCAGCTAAATAATTTCAAAATGACAGCACAAGAATTTGGAAAGCCTACTTATCTCAGAGGTTTAATTACTATTCTAGGGACAAACCGTAGAATTGAATATAAGTTGACTGAGAGATACATCTATGAAACATACTTTGAAGCATTAGAGAATAACAAAATTTTCCAGATGGAGGAGAAAGATTAGTAGACTGAAACAACACATCGAGACCCCTTACTTTGACATAGGTGTGTTCTGTCTCGAGAAGTTCACAGATAACCTTTCGCAGTTTATCTGCATCTGTGAGTTGTCTCATGGTGGCCAGCTGGGGTCCTGTAAATTCCTGAGGATGAGCACTTGAATCAGAAGGGTTCATTTCATGCAGACTGCGACAGAAAGCAGCGACCTGCTCTGTACTCTTTAAAAAGAAGGAAGAGGAAAGACCAGCTGTGATATTTTAAGTAAGAGCTTTAGGAACGATGGAGCCGAGAAGCCTTTGCAGTTAAGCAGTTGCAGCTTGGGGGCTTTTTGACAGGCACCGAAGTCCACAAGTGCACACATGATTTCATATATCTGTCTTTCCTATCTCTCAGTGACTGGGGATGGGGGGAGGTGGCAAGAGTTGCACAATTCAAGTTAATTGAAGTGCTGTTCAATAACATTCCTGGTTTCAGATAAGCATGAACTTTAATTAAAATAGGCTTGTCCAGCACTTCAGATTGAAAAACAAACAGACAAAAAGGCCCAAGATTCAGGAACCAAAAATAACTGTGCAAACAAAGCACACACCCCAGCCCCCTGCCAGTTCCTTAATCTAGTTTGCAACAGTCCTGTGAATAGCTGCGTCAACAGTCAAGGAGACAACGTGGAGATGGAAACTGTTGAAGCTGTTTTTTGGGGAAGCAGAGCCATCTGGGGAACCAAAGCCTCTCGAGGCTTTGAACGCAAGCTCTTTGGGAAGGTAACTGTATATCTGGTCTGTGTCTGGAAACATGCTTTGTGGGGTGAATCTCTTCCCCCATAAATCAGATTTTTCGGAGCTGCTACATCTAGCTGGTTTCTTTAATGTTTAATCAGCTGTCTATATATATAGACAGTTATCCTCTCTTCACCTCCTCATCTTAGATCATCTTCTTGCATCTTTTCGTCACACTGAGAAGTGTGGAGCAGGTATAGTCTCTGGTGTCAGTGACCACAGCCCCAGGCTTCTGGGGTTGTCAAAGCAGTGGCGTGCCCCGTCTCCATCCCTCCCAGAGACCTGGAGGGGTCACAGGGGAGGAAAAAAGAGCTGCTGTGCTCTATCATACCTCTCTAACCTTCTGCATCTAATCCTGCCATGGTATCTTAATCCAGATTTAGTGACTTCCCAGCACTCCCTCCCTAGCACTTCAGTCCATACTAAAACAACTTAACCAAAATTAGCCTGTTCAAACAGAGAATATGCGAAGAGAGGAGGTTTAAAAAAAAAAAAAACCAAACCAAACCTAAACCACAAAAGTACACCACCATTTTGCAGTTTGAAGACAGAGCCCTGCCCCAACAACATCAGAGCTTGCACGACCCCTACGCCTTCGTGATGACCCAGTGCTGAAGAATGCCACATTTGTTAAGCTGCACAGTCTGGTCACACATGGTTATTTTCCCCTCTCAGTGCACCTACAGCGCTACAGAGCCACGAAGCCCAAGAGGAGCATTAACCATACTAGTGACAAGTACGGGATTTCCTTCCATAACACAGTTACTTTCCCTAAAGGTATCTTGTGGCTGTAAATGCTTACCTGAGTGTACCACTGCAAGGCATATTAGTAAAAATACTTGTTATGCAAAGGATAATTTTGTTCAGGGCACAAGTGTAAGCAACGAACTAGTTGTAACTGACTGTCTCTACAAAAATGCCTCTTGGACACAGTTTATTACAGGAAAAACACTCATCTTCAGTATCTGAGGTTTAACTCGGATGAGGAAGAAAGGCAAAGTGGTGGAAATTGAGGGCAGGGGGAAGCAGTGAGTTGAACCAGTCCATTTCCAACTAACTCAGCTTCTGGTAATGGCACATGTCACAGCGTTGGATTTATTAGTCAAAGTAATTCCTTTTCTTTCTCAGCAAGGTTCCACCTAGACTTGCTGTTCTCTTAAGTATATCCAAAGCATGCCCAAACTTTTAGGTTAAGTTTGCATTAGTTTTCCCCAGGTGATCCCAACAGCCCCAAATCCACAAAGTGCAGTAGGTGAAAGCCTGGCTTCAGTGCAGACGAGAAAACCTGCCTGAGTTACCTGGTCTCCTGGAAAGGGAAAAAGAACTGACAATTAACAGATGTTAATCTGAGCCTGCAGACACACAGGATAGGCAGGGTTTTCCTCAGAAACATTTAGCTTTATTAAGACTATTTCGTGAAAGAATATTTGAGGAAGGCATATCCAGTGTCACTTTGCAAAGAGCCAAACATACCATTAAAAATAGTTATAATGTATAAAGCAAGCATGGAATCAAACTCCAAAAATAAACCGAGTGTTTTAAGCAGTTACCCTGTAGACAGCTCACCATCCCGTTCATGCACTTGCAGTAAGTTGCAGGGAAAGATGGGTCACCCAGAAAGAGAGAGCGAAAATCCACTTACACCGTGAAACAGGAGCTAAACTCTAACAAGTACTTGAAAACTGGATAACTGTCATACAGGCATGCTGTCTGCCCCAGAAGGAATAGTTACACCCATATGCCAAAAAGGAAGTGTAGAAGACTTTTAAAAGCCTTATCTCCGCTTGTGCACAGTTAACAAACCGCTCGCTGACTTCAGCTGTGCCCAGCTCCAGCCAGCAGCAGGGCTGAGCTCTGCCTTGCTGCTGCCCCACCTCACATCTTTTACTTATTTCCCAAGTATCATGTACCTGATACGTTTTGGGCAGATGAAATATCTCAAGTACCATAACGTTCACAAACCTGTTTTCTTGCTTGTTTACTGAACAAACTGTCTTGTTTCACTCCTGAATGTCATCCTTTCCACCTTATATTTACTTTTAAAAAAAATCAATTTCTAGACAGAAAGCAAATGCATATTGCACCCAGGGAGGTTCAGAACACAGCAATCTTGCTGAAAACTCTCAAAGTATTAATGAAAGCCTCTCTGCCTCCATTTTCCTAGAGAAAGTGGATAGACTAGGGAAGATCTGGAGCAGAAATGCATCCCTTTATCTCCCAACACCAGTTCTGTTTGCCAGCTGCTACGATAGCACTGAACCAGGATTTCTCAAAGAGAATTACAGCATCACAATTAAGGCACAATTCTGCAAGCAATCCCACCTAGCAACCTTAAAATGAGATGAAGGGCTGGCACAACTGGACTGTAAAGTGAAGTTTACTTTGCACGTACATTAACCCCTCCTCTGCAGGGGGCTCTGCAGAAGTTCACATCCTTCCCATGCAGGCAGATCAAGTCCTTAAACTCATCAAGCTGCCCACAGTGGGGAGTTTTGGCTGCCTGCCCTAGAGTTGAGAGAGTGCAGTGCCATTTCAGCGTGCTCTCACCGTATATAAAGACACACGGGTGCCTGGGCATCCGGCAGATTGCCCCCTTGAACAGCACACAGCACCTCTGTTCTGCCACAGACGGCAAACTCTAAGCAGTATTGATCTCCCAAACAAAACTCAGGCAAATTGCATCCTTTCATGCATTTCCAGTACTGCTAATGACATTGCACAATAACAAAAAGCCTCTACAGGGTATATACATCACAGCTCAGCCTCGAATTTATAACCTGAAAATTAAAACAGCATGGAAATTCGTTTAACTGCTAATTACTTAGACTAGTCACATTGCACAGTAGATCTGCTCACCAAATACAGCATGCGGTACAGAGAGTCGCCGGCTCTCCCAGAGCTTTCGTTCTTGAGTTTACGGTTAACTCTCCGAAGAGCCGACATCGCTGGAAAGGCAGTATTGCCAGAGCTGTCACTCAGCGAGGAGGAAGATCCCAGTTCTCCACATATTGAGCTGATCCAAAAGGCTTTCCCACTCCAGACAGATACTCCGTGCTGCTTACTTTGCACGCAACACCAAAGACGGCTGCATTTTAATAAGGAAGGGCAGTGACCATATTTCTCTAAGCAAAGCCCTTCCGCATGTGTCATTTGCCGCCGGCATCGTTTGCTCACCACATCAGCTGGAATTAAGAGCTGGCTACCAGTTGAAGCTGAGAACTCAATGCTGCTTTTCATAGACTCGTTAAGAGGAAAACTTCAGCAGAGAGGCTGAAATGCAGCAAAGCAGAGGTGAAAGCAGCCCAGGAATATAAATGTATGTTGCCTGTGGCTGAGCATGAGCCGATTGGCTATGAACGGCACAGCCGAAGAATATTAAACATCTGAAGGGACAGAGAATTAAAAGAACTTAAAAAAGCCAGTTACGCTACTGGAAAACCTACCCCTCAAATCCCTGTTTTAATCCTTTCACATCTATTGCAACGCGTTGAAGGTTCTGAGGCTTAATTCTGGTCTTGAATAATGCTGCAGAGGAAAGATGACCTATTTTCTCTGAAAAAATACCTCTAAATGGTACACATGCATGTACACACATAGCCCATTACAGCATGCTCCCCTAAGCACAAGTGCTTCAAGGTAATTAGCTTTCATTTCAAGAGGCAGATGTCTTTAATTAAAAACAGGGAGAAATGAGTGTCCTGCAGTATTTTAACTGATGACAGTTTTTAAAAGACATCCCCAATTAAATTCAAAGGACCATTACAGGAAAAAACACGCACAAAGACTGATCTTGAGATGCAACGCAACACCTATCTTAGCCTTTGGTAACCTGCAACGTTAAGAACTCACACATATACTCAGCCTTCAAGGTACCTCCTTTGAACCTCACTTTATTCTACAATATTTTAAAAGGCCAGACCAGTCAGGTCACCACAGAGGCAAGTAATCATTTAAGCAATTACTCTGGTATGAAATGTTCCCAAGATAATGTTGAACTGGAGACTGACAGACGGGCATCATCTCGATTTCATGAACAGCCTGAAACTTGAATTCACATGCTAGATGAAAACAAGGCTGAAGAGGTGGCGGAGAGCATGCTTTCCTTTCCCTTACTCTTCTCCCTCCCAGCTCTCTCCTCCTCTTGGCTCCCAAGTCGAGGTACTTTACCTAGGAGGGCTGGTTGATGCAGGGAAGGCATCGTGAAATTAGATAGGGAGCAAGCCCGGAGAACAACAGCTATCCCACACCACTGCACTGTCAACATCTCAACACACCTTGGAAACGGGTGTCTGGTATTTTATCAGAATAGTGCTACAGACATCCCACTTTTGCATATTATTATAACGATTCCTGTGACATTAGCGATGGAGAAGTAAACTCCACGTTATCAGGTCTTTAGGATATACAGAAGGTAAGATTTTCAGAAAAGGGAGGAGTCCTCAGAGCTACTGGTGTACCCTCCAAATCCTCCACCACCATCAACAGCTTGGAGGCTTTTGCAGATTAAAAAACAAATGCACCACTACTAAGGAAACACACACCCACGTGCACACATGCTGGGCTGGGGGAAGGGAAAGA